TATATATATATATATATACTTCGATTCCGCGCTCGTATTGTGAGGGGCTAGTGATCGCCCTAGAGGTTTGTCGTATGTCCCCCCGATTCCTGTTCCTGAGATTTGGTAGGGGCTTAGAGCTTTGTCGTATGTCCCCTCCTTTCGCCCCTTCGTGTTGTAGGGTTTGTTGGGCCTTGAAGGTTTGTCGTGTGTCCCCTTTCTTCGAGCTTGGAGAATTGAGGAGTGTCGAGATGATTACCATACATCATTTGCTTCCGTGCTCGTACTATGTGGGGTTAGTGACTGCCCTAGAGGTTTGTCGTATGTCCCCTTCCTTCGTCCCTTCGCGTTGTATGGGTGGTAAGGGTTTTGTGAGGGCCCTGGAGGCTAGTCGTATATCCACTTTCTTCGAGCTTGTAGGGTTTGGGGGAGCGTCTAGAGTCTAGATGATCGTCATATATGATTTGCTTCCGTGCTCAAACTATGAGGGGCTAGTGGCTGTCCTAGAGGTTTGTCATTTGTCCCCCCCGTTTCCTTGGTCCTGTGATTTGGTAGGGGCTTAGAGGTTTGTCATACGTTCCCTCGCTTCGTCCTTTCGTGTTGCAAGGGTTTTGTGAGAGCCCTGCAAATTTGCCGTGTGTCCCCTTTCTTCTCACTTGTAGGGTTTGGGGAGCGTCTAGACGACTGACATATAATTTGATTCCGTGCTCGTATTGTGAGGGGCTAGTGATTGCCCTAGAGGTTTGTCGTATGTCCCCCCGATTCCTGTTCCTGAGATTTGGTAGGGGCTTAGAGCTTTGTCGTATGTCCCCTCCTTTCGCCCCTTCGTGTTGTAGGGGTTTTGTTGGGCCTTGAAGGTTTGTCGTGTGTCCCCTTTCTTCGTGCTTGGAGAGTTTGAGGAGCGTCGAGATGATTACCATACATCATTTGCTTCCGTGCTCGTACTATGTGGGGTTACTGACTGCCCTAGAGGTTTGTCGTATGTCCCCTTCCTTCGTCCCTTCGCGTTGTATGGGTGGTAAGGGTTTTGTGAGGGCCCTGGAGGCTAGTCGTATATCCACTTTCTTCGAGCTTGTAGGGTTTGGGGGAGCGTCTAGAGTCTAGATGATCGTCATATATGATTTGCTTCCGTGCTCAAACTATGAGGGGCTAGTGGCTGTCCTAGAGGTTTGTCATTTGTCCCCCCCGTTTCCTTGGTCCTGTGATTTGGTAGGGGCTTAGAGGTTTGTCATACGTTCCCTCGCTTCGTCCTTTCGTGTTGCAAGGGTTTTTGTGAGAGCCCTGCAAATTTGCCGTGTGTCCCCTTTCTTCTCACTTGTAGGGTTTGGGGAGCGTCTAGACGACTGACATATAACTTGAGTCCGTGCTCGTATTGTGAGGGGCTAGTGACTGCCCTAGGGGTTTGTCGTATGCCCCCCCCCCGCTTCCTTGTTCCTGTGATGTAGTAGGGGCCTACAGGTTTGTCGTATGTCCCCTGCCTTCGTCCCTTCGTGTTGTAAGGCTGATAAAATTTTTCTGAGGGCCCTTGGAGATTTGTCGTATGTCCCCACGCTTCGTGTTCCTGAGATTTGGTAGGGGCCAGAGACTTGTCGAATGTCCCCTCCTTTCGTCCCTTCGTGTTGAAATTGCTTTGTTGGGGGAAGGTTTGTCGTATGTCACCTTTCTTTCTTCTTAGAGGGTTTGGGGATCTTCTAGAAAACTGTCATATATCATTTGCTTCCGTGCTCGTATTATGAGGGGCTGGTGTTTGTCATAGAGGTTTGTCGTATGTCCCGCCGCTTTCTGTTCCTGCGATGTGGTAGGGGCCTAAAGAGGTATGTCGTGTGCCCCCTCCCTTCGTCCCTTTGAGTTGCAAGGGTTTTGTTGGACCTGGAAGATTTATCGTATGTCTCCTTTCTTCGTGCTTGTAGGGCGTGGGGAGCGTCTAGATGATTATCATATATGATTTGCTTCCGTGCTCGTATTATGAGGGGCTAGTGACTGCCCTAGAGGTTTGTTTTATGTCTCCCTGCTTCGTGTTCATGTCATTTGCTAGGGTCCTGGAGATTTGTCGTATGTCATTTTACCATATACGAAATTAGATACAATCCCTTCGTCCCTTCGTGTTGTAAGGGTTTCGTGAGGGTCCTAGAGGTTTGTCGTATGTGCCCTTCCTTCGTCCCTTCTTGTTGTAAGGGTTTTGTGAGGGCCCTGCAAATTTGCCGTATGTCCCTTTCTTCGTGCTTGTAGGATTTGGGCAGCGTCTAGATGATTGTCATTATCATTTGCTTCCGTGCTCGTACTATGAGGCGCTAGTAACTGCCCTAGACCTTCAGGGCCCTCACAAAACCCTTACAACACGAAGGGACGAAGGGAGACGACATACGACAAACCTCTATCATCTAGATGCTCCCCAAACCCTACAAGCAAGAAGAAAGGGGACATACGACAAACCTCCAGGGCCCTCACAGAACCCTTACAATAGGAAGGAGTGAAGGGAGGCGACACACTACAAACCTTTAGGCCCCTACCAAATCACAGGATCACGAAGCGGGGGCGTCAATTGACAAACCTCCAGGCCAATCACTAGCCCCTCATAATACGAGCACGGAAGCACATGATATGTGATTATCATCTACACACTCCCCAGACCCTACAAGCACGAACAAAGGGGACATACGACAAACCTCCAGGACCCTCCCAAAACCCTTACAACACGAAGGGACGAAGGGAGGGGACACACGACAAACCTTTAGCCCCCTACCAAATCACAGGAACACGAAGCGGGGGGACATACGACAAACCTCTAGGGCAGGCACTAGCCCTCATAATACGAGCACGGAAACACATCATATATGATAATCATTTTGATGCTCCCCCAAAACCTATAAGAACGAGAAAGGGGAAGCACACAAACCTCCAAAGCCCTTACAAAACCCTTACAACACGAAGGGACGAAGGGAGGGGACATACGACAAACCTCTGGACCCTACCAAGTCACAGGAAACACGAAGCGAGGGTGCTTGCCTAAGTCTGGCTGTTGGCCGGCTGGATCTACATTTACTGCTACTACTACTACTACTGCTACTACTACTACTACTCCTACTACTACTACTACTACTCCTACTACTCCTACTACTACTACTACCACTACTACTTTCAAGAAGTTTTGTAAATAGTAAACAAAGGGGCGTGCCAAATAGACCCTAAAGGTCCATGCCACATATATATATATGTACATGAAAGGCGGGTGTCAGTGTCAGAGTCGTCAGTCGGACTTATTCTTTTTAAAGAGTGTGAGTTGCGCAATGCATGCAAATGCGTTGCCAAGCTTTCCCAAGGTGCTGTCGGACTCCTCCTACCCATTGGGCGCAGGTCTTGGGCCGAAGAAGTTGTCCGAAAGCGGTGCCTTGGATAACTTGGATACTTTTTGGATCTCCCTGGAAAGGATCAGAGCGCAATTTTTGTGCATCTGTTTGCCATGCTTGCTCCCCAGACGGCTTAGACTTAGGAGACACAGGACATGGAGATTCTCGGCGGCTACGCTCTCGCGACGACCCTGCAGCGCTTGCAGGCGTTTACGTGTGACACCACAAATGGTTCTCCAGAGGACTGCCGAGACAACAAGCATTTTGCCGCATTTGTGGACATGCCTTTGCATCTAGGTGACATCTTGCTCAGATGTGATTGCAGGAAGGCAGCAAACTGGCCTCACACAATCTTCAATTTGCGCAGAAAACAGTTTCAAGCACGATAATTCAGACGCCAGTCAGGAAGAACTGGGCAAGGCAAGCTTGCCTTCTGCCTCTTGTAGAGGCACTTTTGTGTCTTGATCGATGTTCTGGCAAGCTGAACTCGGACTGAGCTCCAGTTCAGCCAAAGACTTCTACTATCCAATTCAAGCAAGTACTTTCGGTTGGGACTGTGCATGAGCAGCGTTGCTCAGCATGTTCAGTTCTCTTTGCACTGCAGTGACCTGAGCCCGGGCTACAAGTGTCTGTGCTGCTGTAAAGCTAATTCAACATGATAGCACCACTCCAGTGATGTCAACACGTGACAAGCTGCAGCGGCAAGTGAATGTTCAGACCACAGCCGGTGTTGGGTAAAGCCAGCCCTGCTAGACTGATGCGAACAGCCGCATAGTTGTTGTACAGACTGCTTGGCCCGTGCCTCAAGGGCAAAAGAAGCGCCTTGCGCATCCAAACACCAGGCAACGCAGTATCTCGAGCAGGGCAGTTGGCATTTGGCTGGCATGGGCTTGCAACCCATGCTGCAGTCGAGTTGTTTTTGGCTTCAGGTGTCGCCGCTACCTCCGCCACCGTGGATGCCAGTGAAGGCTCTGAAGCGTGCGGGCCTTGCAGATTCCAAACTTCTTTCTGATAAAAGCGTCACCAGCTTTAGACGGAGCTAGCGTGTGACACCACTCTTCAAGAAACAGAAACTGATAGAAGGCAGGGAGCCTTGTCATATCCTGTTATGCTGATACCTTGCTTTGTGGAGGGAGGGGCCGGGCCCGGCTGGGCAGGTCAGATCGATTTTTTTTTGTGCAATGTCGAAGCGGTCCCCTCTGCAAGGCCCACAGAAGCTGGACAGGCCTTGGAAGCCTTGGGACAAGAGAGATCAAGAGAGTGAAGCATGCAGACGCTCCATTCCTGCTCCTTCGGTGTAAGTTTCACTTTGCTATCAAAGCTGTTTTCGATGAAAAATCACCACCAAGCCTGTGGGCCTCGTTGGGCCTCGCAGCTCTCTTATGCTTGGTATTCGGATCATTGAATAGGTGTCTACAGGTCATAAGAGGTCCGTGAGAAGTGGAATTAACATGCAGTCGAATCGGCTGTCGCCTGAAGGCCGTTGCAAGCTCTGCAGACAACGATGCGGCTCAGCCTTATGAATGTACCTAGCAGAGTTACGGAAGCCACGCGAAAGCTCTCGCGCCCAGAAGACGCAAGTGAAACCGTTAGCGTGCTCAAGTTGGTTTTTTGTTTCTGCGGCTGCATCTGTGCTGCGTAGTAGATGCTACAGATCCCAGGTGCTGCCTGTAGATGCTGAGCAGGCAGCCTCGGTTGCCAGACCTGCCGGTGGCTGAATTCGATGCCTTCGTGCATTTGAGGGTGTCAACAGACATTGTTAGTGTTGATTTGCCGGGCATAGCGCGCTGTTGCGGAGGTCCCGATGGCTTCTGGGTGCGATTCTTCAGGCAGCAATCACGCTTTGAACTTTGTGGTGGGCCTAGGCAAGGCCTTTGCGCAACATGGCAGGAGAAACCTGGACTGGCGGTTCTGCAGCTGAACCTTCTGCCCACGAGTGGGGCGACGGTGGCTGTGGCTGTCCGGCTGCTGCGCAGGCGCTGGCCACGCACTTGCCCTCTCAGACTGCACCAGCAGCTGCGCTGCGTGGCGGTGATGGCTGCGGCTATGGCGATCTATACGGCTGTCAGGGTTACGCGTGGAGTGGGTCCGAGTGGAACCAAGCTCCTTGCAGCGGCTTCAATGGAGCCGAATGGGGAGGTGGCTGTGGATCTGGGTGCCAGGGCAGTTGCTGCGATGGCGCTGAATCCGGCTGCAGAGGCGGCTGTTGTGAAGGTTATGGATGTGCCAGTGGCAGTGGTGGCTGTGTCAGTGTGGAAGGTGGCTCTTTCAATCGTGGCTGCGGACACGGATGGATGCCTGGCAAGCCTGGAGACATGTGGGCCCAACGAAGGCTTGAAGAGCCACAGCCTTGGCAAGGTGCAACCTCTTGGAAGGGATATATCCAAGGCAAAGGCGGCGATGCCTGGAATACAAGTTGGGGCAGCTGGAAGGGTGGCGGCGCCTGGGATGTTAATGGAGCTGGGCGCCCAAAGGGCTGGGGCTCAGTGCCTCGTCCTGGGACTATTGTCAGATGTCCGCAGTCTCAGTAGCGTGGCGAGTATTTGCGCCCTGTCCCAAGTGTGCGCGTGTAGCACGTACCTGTCCTGGGGCAGCTTTCTTGAAAAGAATGGGCATCGGGCTAGCAAGTCAACGTATCAAGATGTGCAGGACTTGCATGCTCTTCTGGTGGGCAGAAGCTGTGGTAGAATTTGGCAGAAGCCGCTTCATGAACTAGTGGCATTTGCATTTAGTCGTGTTGAGGATGTGAAGCTCGCATGGCTTTCGGGGAGGTGAGGCTTCTGTCTGTCAGATAACCTTGTCCCGGCCTAGAACCTGTTAGGTAGGAGCTGTTACTACAAGGGTCGAGTGAGTCTGAGTTCGGTATGGCATGTGTTGTACACGCTGCCTCTGCAGCATTGCCAGCGCAGCACTGGCATTGGAGGCTGGCTTCATCCAACCCAAACTGTTGGAGAGAAATCTGCTGATGGCTCAAGTGCCGCCATTTGCGCTGAAGTCAACAGTGCCCCCGCGCGCACCGGTATGATGTCCCGCGGATGATTGGGAGCAGCGTTTCTGACAGATACATGAGCCAAGGCGCGGCGGAATCAGCTCTGCGCCCTCCAAAGCGCAAATGTTTGCACCTGTGATGTTGACCGATGGCTTCAACACAGCTCCCACTGATGTCATTGGTCAGAGGCACTGACACGCTTGGGTACACTTCCTTTCTGGTGTCAAGACGCGCTCTCTTCTCACGGCACGGGTCGTCAGCCGATGCTAGCAAGATTAAAGAACTGATTGATGCCAGTAGGGTGAATGATACCAAGGTTGTCGATGCTTCGGGAACCCCAAGATCCCAATCTGAAAGACGGGCAGTGACGGGCAGGGCTGGAGCCCTCTCTGCGCTCCTTGACTTGCTAGCAACTTCCTACATACCTACGACTCCAGCATCAAGAACGTGAGAATCACCATGGATAGCTACCGCTTCAGAGAGTTCATTGCAGCTTTTCAATCGGAGAGGGTACCCGGCATGCCGTTGAGCGGCATGTCGACTCGGTCTGGCGACGGGGCCGGGTTCTCCTTCAAGAACCCGCGGTGGACCGCATCTACCTCCACCTGCTGAGCCATCAGGTGGTGACCGTCTTTGCCACCTCGAAGTGGTGCGTTTGCTGGTGGATGCAGATGCAGACAAGGACAAGGCCACGAACGACGGCTGCACCCCTCGGCCCTACACGGCGAGGTCAGGCCGGAGGGCGAAATATTTCAACCTCGGGCTTACGAACGAGCGCGCCTTGAAATCCCATCAGCGTGTGCACATTGCGAGTATCGACAACATGGACTTGAGAACCATCGTGGATGCAGACTGCATGCAGACCGCAGCACCCTCGTGTCAGAGTAATGTGTCAAATGCGAGGTTTGCCTTTGCATCCTTTGCCTTACGACTATTACGACTTCAATTTATCATGCAGATGTGTGGAAGCCTGTCCCGCTGCCACTAAATTCGCCTTGGCATGTTGCGACTGGCCTGTTGTTAGTTTTTGTGGTGAAAAGTGTCCAGCGATGTCCTGCCATGTCCCATGTGTCTGATGCCAGTCCGTCTTGCATCGTGGCACCTTGCTTGATTGGCAGTTCTGGGGATCGTGGCAGATGTCTGTTTCGAGCTGGCAGAGGCCTTGCAGACAGTCAGCACGCAACCTTGAATCCCAGCTCCGAGTCAGCATGAAAGTTCTGAGTGGCAGTGAAAAGAGACCAATGTTTCGCGGCAGGGATGACTGTGATCTGTTCTGTCTTACGCCGGAGCCCGACGGTACATGCACAGAGTTCAGGGCATCACCACCTGCTTCCAACATAACAGCGAACTTCACTGAAGTTCCTCCAGGTGGAGACGCCTGGGGGGCTCAAGCCATAGCTGTTCGTTGCAATAACAATGCTGTGGTGCATCAATGGCCTTTCATGTGCCCAGGAAGTCAGACCCGAGCTGCCTCTGCCGATGGAACTCGACCAGTCTCTTTGCACGTCCGGGCCCAAGCGGCTTTCTTCAAGCAACTTGCAAGCTGGAGGAGCGCCATGCTACTTTCATCATCATTGTTTAAGATCCGTTACATTGACTCATCCAGTCTTTCAACGTTAGCAGTGCAGTCGGTGCCGAGTTTGACATGTTCTTCTGGTGTTCCACAGAATGCCTCGCCTGACGGACAAGTGGTGCTTGAGAGATGCCAGTCTTTGCATCCAAGCTTAAAGACACTGCTCAGGAATGAGGACTCTTCGTGGCTGTTTTGCCATCTGTAGCAACGGCCTTCGGCTGGACTATTTGAATGAAATCCTTGTGCTTTCGCGGCTGTTCTGTTGTGCAGGTCTTGAGTATTGTTTGACGGGCGCGTCAGTTCGGGCAAGTATGTGCAAGCTACATGAGTCCAGGATGTGCATCCGGCAGCCGGGTGCGGCCCTCGGCTATTTTTGATCCCAAGATGGGATGCCCGAGTGGCCTCAAAGAGCCTGAAGGCCACGAAGCCCATAAAGCCCACTTAGCTTCCAAGGTCCTGGCCAGGCCTGGGTGACGAGCCAAGGTGTCGGGCTTCGAGTTGAAGCATAGCCGGCGGAGCGATGGACCACTGCGCAGCACGTAGATCGTAAATGTTTATGGAAGCACCTGTGACTCATCACCCGGCTTGATGGCTCGACTCTGCGTTCGCTGCACCGGGCCGTCGCTGCAGCATCATGCCGAGAGTGCAACAGCAACGACGACCGAGCCATCTGTAATTGCCGAGGTATTACGAGGCCGACTTTGTAGACAACAAGTTCTATGGCCCAAAGGTGCACGGCCTAGAAGCTGGCAAAAGTGACACACTCTGGTCAATGGCTTCGGCTAAAGGATCGTGTGTTGGCCTCTGCGTTCCTGGAGCCGCCTCCCCAGCGAAACTGGAGATGTAAAAACGTGGCATTCGCAGATTGTGAAGATGCGTGTTAGCCCCATGTCTGTGAGGTCGCACTGCCTCTCACGACTCGAATTTCCTTTGATCTCAGGTTCCTTGGGTCAGAGGAGCTGTGGGGCGACCACATGCTGGACGAGCTCGGCCAGAGTGCAGACGTCCTCCAGGCACAGGGGCCAGTCCAAGCCTCCCTCCCATCCCTCTCCCAAAGCTGTAAAAGCCTTTAAAGCTGGGCTGCAGTGTGCAACATCAGCGCTCAACGTGGCAGGTCCTGTGCAGAGCGCTGGCCTCAGGCCTTCGCCGGGCATTGAATCATTGAAGCAAGGCGTTGTGCGGTTGGGTGTCCCAAATTTGACCATCTGTGCCCAAACTGTTCCAAACGCGCCCTTCCTTTAAAGCTGCTTGCCGCCTAGGGTGGTGGGCCTTTGTAGTTCTGAAGCTGGCTGAGAGTGTCAAATCTGTTTCCGTTGCCACTATCAGTAAGTGGCAAGGCACCTATGATCCTACCCTCACGCGTGCCATAGGGATTTCTTCTACATTCTGTTTGGTTGTCCTTGCGACTTAGGCAGCATTCAGAAAAGGATTTTGTCACAGACGTGCGTTTACGACAGCTAGATCAAATGTTTCAAAACGCCTGTCAGGCAGCAGCAGCTGAATCTTGTTCCCTCCTCCTCCGCATTCTCTCCGATCTTTCATCGATCCTCAGATCATGTCGCTAGTTCAGCAACTTCGATGCTCGTGAGGGTTTAGGAGGAAGCTTCCGCAGGTTTGAAGCTTGTGGTCTTTTCGTTTCTACCCGCACATTCTCCGACACAGGCCTTGACTTGTGGATTGTTTTTTGTTTTCGGATTGGCGCCTTCGGACGCGGATGTTGGACGGACTTTTCGTTTTCTCGGCGCGTGTCTGCGTTATTTATGAGATTTTTTGGTGTCTGAGTCTGCCTCCCTCGTTTTCCGACCCAGGCCTGTACGTTCTCTGAAAACGCCGGGTGTGTTTTCCGACTCTTTCCTTCCGTTTTCCGAGTTTTACTGCCGACGTTTTTCTGACTCAGCCTTCACCCTTATGGCCCGAGGCCTCGGCGGATTTGTGTGCTTCACTTCCATGCGGCGTGAAGCCTTGATCGAATTGACAAAGGTCAAGCCGCGCTGTGTGGTCCTTCTCAGGCTGGCGCTAAATTCTGCTTGCTTGTGTGTGACCTTGTTCCTTGCTTTCCTGCTCCTCAGATGACCTTGTGGCAGCGTGCACAAAGTGTGCACAAAGTGTGAT